ATATATATATATTTAATAGAATTTATACTAAAAAAATAATGATACTTGTGATTATATTATGATTCATAATACCTTGCCTTTCCTTATGTATACGATGATTTATCTTATCTATAGTTGCTAATTTCTCATTAAGAGCTATACAATAATCTCGAATTTGCTCAAATTCAAAATGGCGTTGTTTCATAGTATATGTACTTGCTATATTTTGCAAAGAATCAGTCATTTTAATAAGAACATTTCCACGATTTTTACGATGTATGAGAAACTCCTAAGAAAGATGTAAGTATAATATCCAAAAATATACTAAACAAAGAAATTACAAAAAATAAAATTTTTTATATAATATTCTTACTGCAGGTTTAGTAGTCAAAAAGATGTATAAATTTTTGTCATAGCTAAGAATTGGATGATTTATAACTCTGTTAAGAAACATATGTAATAATTTCATGCGTGCTATAATAAATTCTTTGGAATAACGATCTAACTGAGCAAGTAATGTGTGTTTTCCAGGCATTGGCTGTAATAATAATAATAATAATAATAATAATAATGTGCAACAAATTTTCATAAATTATATAATAAAATAAATAATTCATAAAAACTATTCTAAGAATAAACAAAAAAGTATAGGATTAATATGCTTTTAAAATATATAATGTCTTACTGGTATAATATGTGTAGGATATGAATCTACTAATTTTTGTCTTAACCAAATAAAATCATTATAACGTCTCCTAACAATATATTCTCCTTCCTCAAATTCTTGTCTTGTGGACTGAAACATTATAGAAATTTTACTATTATTGATATATATATATATAAATAAATATTTAAAATGAAACTTACTTTTGTTGTTATACGAAAAGTAATATAAGTTTCAAGAGTTTCAAGATGCTTTTGAGGATTATCTACTTTTACTTGTAAATCTCTAGAATCTTTAGAATCTATCTGAAAATCTGATATTTCTTGCTCTGGTAAAGTAGAGAAACTGTCAATGGAAGGAGAAGCTATCTAAAAATTAAATTGTAAATTAAATGAAATAATATTAAGTATATTAATTTTTTATATAATTTAATTAATTTAAATAATTTATATAATGTATAAAAAATTAAAATAATTAATTAATAATGAAATTTTATGCGAAATTCGTGATTTTTATTTCTGTAATATAGTTATACATATAGCAATTGTCAAAAATTACAGGTTATATTCTTACCACGGAACCTTCGATAGAGGTACTACAATTTGAAAGAAAATCGACATCACGATTCTCCTGTTTAATAACACCGCCGACTGCTATTGTGCTTACTTCTAAAATTGCAGATTCTTCTGCATTTTTCTCACTTAAATTCTCTACTTCAATTTCTGAAGAAGTCATCATCTTTAAATTGTCAAGTATAAAGAACTGTACCAGCACTGCGTCACATGCGCAGCATTAGATAAAACATGAATACGATACGCACATTGATCATATTTAAAAACTTTTAAAACTTTTAAATATAAATAATTTATATAGATTAAACTAATCATTAAGTTAAATTACAATTCGCGAGTATTATAATTTACCCGCCTTTTTTATTAAATTTTTTAAAAAAAGTTGTATATTGTTCTCTGCAATTGAAGAACTATAATTCGATCTTTGGTTGTTATAAAGCGTAGTTGAAAAAAGTTTACGATATTCTGGAATAAAGAGCAAATAATTTGCACCCGTGGAAACCGTATCTCGGGATACAATCGAAAGTTTTTCCCGCGATTAAAACTTAGAAACTTTCGCGTGGACTTCGCGAAAGTATGGAGTGGCAAGAAGAGGATGAATACAGTTCCATTTTTTCCAAGAGATATTCCATTATGATGGCGGAAGAATCCTCATTACCAATTATTTATTACCGATCACAAAATTTGTTATCGAGTAAGTTTTATATATTATTTAAATCGTTAATGCATATTATTAATTATTTAAAAATTTTTTAATTCTATAATTTTAATCATTAAGTATTATATATTTAATTAATTAAAAAAACATGTACGTTATTTATTTTTTACAATAATAGTTAATTCAATTAAAAAAATATTAATAGTTAAATTTCAAGATAATCAATAATTTACAATTTTCGATAATTTTAAACAACGCGCCGCATAAAAGCGCGGTATATTCATTGATTTAAACAAATTAAAGATATATTATTAAAGAATTAGAAAAACTCTAATATATTGCATATTTAATCAGCTAAAAATCAACCAGTTTAAATGATTCATCAAAACAAAGCAAATGTTATAATGCAATTGGTCAGTATCATACTTATAATCTGTATATTAACATATTCGTTTGCGCACGCATGCAACTACTATATATAATATATAATAAACTTCTGTTCACGAATAAACATTTGTTGTTTCTGAACAAGAGATTTTTTTAGAAAAAACTTACAATTAAATCTTATCTCAACAAATATTATAGATTTTAATGATTTAATCTTATATTTATATATTAGTATAAAAAAAAGCACGCGTGACTTATTCACAAACGTATCATTAATTTTATGAACCCGCTTCAAAATTAATCTATATATTTTAATAAATACTTGATTATCATTAATATTTCGCTATAAGCAACTTTTAAAAATTTAAATTAATATTACATAATATAATTATTTATTAATTTGAAATATTAAATTTTATACATTTTTATAATGAATATTTTTTATAAAAAATGTAATTTGTACAAAATGTTAATTCAGTTCGTCATTTATAAAATTCAATTAATTGAAACTTTAATAAAAAATTTGAATTAATTAAAAAATTATATATTTTAAAGAATGAACATTATTTTACTTATTTGAAAATAAATTTTTATATGTACTATATGTTGCTAATTATATATATATATATATATATATATATACATATATATTAATCACTTTTGATCAAATAATAAAATTGATAAATTTAGAAAAATAAAAAAGAAATATTTTCGAAGATTATAATGATATAAGTACTTAGTTTGTTCATTTTCTACCGTAATTATCGCACCCTAGTAAATAAAAATTAGGTACGGTACTGATTGTGACGCGGGCAGTGATGCCGTAGTCAAGGCGACCGCAGCAGCAGACAACCAACACTCCGACTAGCCGTCGACAACAAAATATACAGGTTCGTCGGAGTGTGCTGCTCCGCTTTTCCACTTCTACGGTGCCTTGGCTGTCGCATGGTTTCCTGGGTGACAAGCTCGGCGGTTCCTTGAACGGCAAAAGCTCGGTTGAAATACGTAGGGAGACACGTTCGGTCGCGCAAGTGCGTCCGGGCGTCGTATTGAAAGTACACGCCATTCATGAAGACAGGTGAGTAAAAAAAGAAATGTACAAACCGCGCTTTCTTATCATTCTAATTACGATTGTTCGTGCGTGTATTTTTGTGATTTTACAAAATTTTGGGACAAAATACAATATGTTCCGATATTCGATATCTTAATATCGAATCATTAATATCAGATTTATTATATTAATTTTATTATTCTTAATATATATTTATATAATGACAATTGATATAACTGATTATTGATAAATGTTATATTAAACTATTCAAATAATTCAAAATATTATTTCAAGTTTTTGTAATTAAATTTCTTGATATTTTTACATTATAAATATTTATATATTAATAAATTTAATTTTCTTTTATGTGAAGATTTATTGAATATTATTTATTGAATATTAACCAAAATAACTGAATTAAAATATCTCTATTATACATTTATATATTTAGATATTTATATAAGAAGAGATTTTTATTAAAATTTTTATTAAACTAATACTTTGATTTTGTTGTAATTAATATATTTAATGTCTTCAAAAATGTTATACTTTCTAAAACAATATATACTTGAATATTTTTTTATAAGATTAATTAATTTTTTTTATAAGAAATCATTAGAAATTTTTTGTTTTATTTTCTCCTTTCACATTGATTTTTAATAATCTTTTGTACATTCTATTTAGAAGATATATATTTAAAATATATATCTGCATAGCATTTAATTAAAATAGATTTATCAATTCTATGTATTCAATTCAATGTATTTTTTGAGATATAAAAAAAATCATAGCTGTATTATATAATTTTAGAGATTATTATAATTATTATTACAATTATACAAGATTATTTTTATTTTTTATATAATTTTTAAAACAA